AAATGTAAAAACGATCTTATGGATGATTACATATCACTGAGATTTTGGTGTTGCACGCTGGTAATTGGGCTTTGTGATTCGGAAATGTGCTAGGCTCTTAGTTTAGTATTACTTCAAAGTTTCATGATTTCTAATCGACCGTCAAGAGCTTTCCCTGTAGATTTCATTGTAAGTAAACGCAATCTGGTCTTATTTACTCAAGAATGGTGCATAGACTCTTTTTAGAATTAAATCAATTGTCTTGAAACTTACTCAGCCATTCGAGAAAAGTTTACTGTATGGGTGTGGACATTCCTTTGTCTTATATTCTGATGAGAATGGACGCAAATGTTGAAGAGTTTTAACTTTTTCTTTTGGTGGTTGACCTATGGGAAAAGACTAAATTTGTTCTTCAGGGTTAAAGATATGTGAATTTCCAGTGGGATTATGCAAATTTTGGTGTTTGACCAATGGGAAAAGACTAAATTTGTTCTTCAGGGTTGAAGATAAGTGAATGTCCGGTGGGATTATGTAAAAGGCTGCATATGTTTTTTTCACCATGAGGTCATTGTTACTTTTAGGGTTGAGAATTTTTGTGTTTTCTTTGTTTTAGTTTCCCTCCTCTTTCCTTATGCATCGAGTTGGTTTAAAGGACTTGCGTTGGTGTCGGAGCCCTAGTTTTCATCTTCCAGACAATTATTAATCATCATAAGATTTGTGGTCTATTCTTTCACACAGTTTCAGAGTTCTTAGGGTTTACTCTTGTCAAACAGCACATCATCATATCGTACATACATTGTCAACAAAAGCTACTCTTTTATTTAGGAATATGTGGCCGCTGAACTGCCTTGTGTTCTGTTGGGATTAATTATTATTATTTTTTTGTATCTATCTTCCAGATTGAAAAAGGTGTTGAAGTTTACCATGATGAGGAATTCAAGTCAAGAAGATGGCACTTCCCGTCATACAATTTGACCGTATCAAACATTTGGTCCCCTTTCCTCGTGAAAGCTGAAATCTTTGAAGACATTAATGGTGTTTCGACGTCTGAGGTTCAGCTCTATCTAGACCAACTCGATAGTAAATGGACAGATCATTTCCAGAGCTTGGACTACACGATAATCTCAACTGGGAAATGGTTTCTCAAAGCTGCTATCTACCATGAGAATGACACTGAAGTTGGCTGCCACATCTGCCCTGAAGGAAAAAACCTGACACAGTTGGGATTTGTCTATGCTTACAACAAGAGTCTCCATTATGCTATGAACCACATTGCACAATCTGGGCACAAGGGATTGATTTTTTTCAGGACAACAACGCCAGATCACTTTGAAAATGGGGAGTGGCATAATGGAGGAACTTGTCCACGAACAAAACCGGCTAAAGAGGGAGAGATTGAAATAAAAAGCTTGCATAGGATTTTACGTGACATTGAACTGGAAGCGGTTGAGAAGGCAGCAGCTGAAGCTGCCAGGAATGGGGTGCAACTGAAGCTTCTTGACTTCATGAATATGTTACTGTCGAGGCCAGATGGGCACCCAGGTCCATATCGAGAGTTCCATCCATTTGCGAAGGACAAAAATGCCAAGGTTCAAAATGACTGCTTACACTGGTGCTTGCCTGGGCCAATGGACTCCTGGAATGATGTGATAATGGAAATGGTGGTTAATGGTTGAGAGTTGTTTATTTAATAGAAACTGTAATTTTCTATTAATTGATTTTTGGGCTCACAAGAGACTTCTATTTATATATATGCACATATCAACTCATTTAAGAAATAATCTATACGGGAAATACTATATACGTAAAAGAATCTCAATATATAACTCATTGCTTTGTGATATCCTATATCACATTTAAAAGATATGTGAGAATTTAATACAAAAATGAAGAGATACATTGTTAATAATATAAGTCTAAATATTTTCAAAGCAGCAGTTTGACTTTAAAAGTTGCTGATAAACAGTTGGTATTAAAGTGTATGCATCGGATTGGTGCTATGTAATTTTTAGATCGAGTGTTTAAATTTTGATTTATTTTGTAAAAAGATTTGAATAATAAAAATTATGATATTTTAATGTTAAAAAATACGAATCACAATATTAGTAATTTTTAAAATTCTTTTTCAAAAGTTTTGCCTAACTTCTAGCCGCTAAACATAAGTAATTATAATTAACATATCATAAGATTCTTCTTGTTTTATGGTAAAAATTCATTATTATTAATTTTTTTTTAAAAAAATTAAATCATAACATCATTTGTATGCTCCTAGATCTCCCTCTTCCGGTGATCTTTTGGTTGAAAGCAATAATTCTGCGTCTCTAAATATTTTTTTTTTAATATAATTTATGATCATACGACATTAAAAAAAAATAAATATTACAAGTGAATATTGATGAAAATATAAATTTCGTTCATATATTACATGTTAAGAGTTTATTCGTGCAAAATTTTAGGAGTAATGAATTAAAATTATTTTATATTCAATCTCAAGGAGTTTAATTATTTTTAAATTAATAGATCAATTCCTAGCCTACCTAAATACTCATTTAAATCTAATTAATATTAATATGGATAACAATTTTTTTTGAATATTTTTATTCAACACGTTGGATGAAGATAATTTAGAAAAATAAGAATAAAAATTTTATTAAAATTTTGGATTTGGCTTATCATAGAGATATATGATATTTGACAAGTATTTTGAGTTTTATTAAATTTTGAATTGCTTATTGATTTTGATATTATTTATTTATTACTTACATATATATATATATATATTTTTTTTTTTAATTAAAAAACATATATATATATATATATTATCTTTAATTTATCATTTTTTGGGTAAAAATTTTGGGAGAGTGTATTTTCTAATTTAGCTTATTGTAAATTATTTTGGTTTATTGATTTGTACCCACTTGAGCGAATGAAGACCATAAAATATATAAATATTAAAATATACGTAAAGGTATTAATTAGCATAAGGGAAGCTTACCTTAAGGAAGACATTTATAACTTTCATTTGTGAAGGAAGCTAGCTAGCTAGAATCTTGATTTTGAGGGCACCACAGAGAAGCTGTAAAGAAGAAGCAAGACAGTTTAAAGAGAGTCAATTCAAAATGACAGATGAAGCTGTGTAGATGGAAGCTTCCACTGTTTTGATTTAGGGAACAGAGAGAAAAAAAGGAGGGTTGTTTGTGATTAGAAGATGGAAGTTCAAAGTGTTGGTGTCTGGTGAGAGGAAGCATTGAGTGGACACTGCGAAGAAGAATGAGCAAAAAAGACAAACGATCAGGGATCATGAGAGGTGAGGGAGGGAAGTTGCCGTTAGGGCACAAAGAAGGCGGAAAGGAAGTTGGCGCCTGTTGAAGAAAAATCTGAGTTTGGTGGGGGTAAAAAAAAAGGTCAGAATGACGAATGCCAATATTAGTAAATTTAAATTTAAAATAGACCAAATTAATAATAGAGAGGGAATTTTGTCATGAAATTTTACACCACTAGAGAAATAATATTCTTTCAACAATTTTCCAAGTTGGGGTAAAAATTTTGATCAATTTTTTTGTGTAGTCCAAATGAATAAATAAATAAATAAATGTATTGTAAAATTAGCAACTCGTACTATTTACTAATCCAAGGGTTTGCGCACATTTCTATTTAAGTAAAAGATAGGAAGCAAATTTGTAAATGGAAATTTAAGATGTAAATTTGTACATCAAAATACAAATTTACATCTTGTATGCCCAAGAAATTACTCACAATATAAATATATATACAAAGTTAATTTTTTATAAAAAGAGCATACGACGTATATGTACAAAAATCTCTACTTTTCGCCCTTGAATGATATTTATCCAAAAATCTCTAGAATTTCTCTTTTTTTTCTAAAAAAGTGTAAATAACTGCTCTGGAATTTAAAAAAGTAAGAAATCAACCCCCCTGACCAACGGTCAATTCTAAAACAATCACATTTGAATTTGAAAAATCAGACCGTTGCCGCCCCTTTCATCTTTAAATCTCCAGACGCTCCTCCTCCTCTGTTTAAACCCTTACCGAACAAGTTACCCTATCAATTTCGTCTCTCTTTCCCTCTCTGAGCATCCATCAGCCACGGCCACAGTTACAGAGATGTCTGCGAACGCTGATCCAGCACCCACAAAGAAACCGAGGAACAACAACAGAAGACCACTGAAACAGAAAAACCCATCAACAAATGACGCCAATATCATGGCCCAGAAACTTAACGAGGCCTCTCTGGTGGTGCAGCCTCCTTCGGATTCTCTCCCGGAAAAGGAGAATCACGACTCTCTTTCTCAGGCTCTCTCCTCCCCGAGGAAATCATCTAAGGCCCCGTCTTTTGAGAAAGAGTTGCAGGAAATGCAAGAAACACTGCAAAATTTGAGGTTTGAGAAAGAGAAGACTGAGGAAATGTTGAAGGAAAAGGACGAGATGCTGAAGTTGAAGGAGGAGGAACTGGAAACCAAAGGAAGGGAGCAGGAGAAGCTGCAGACGGAGTTGAAGAAGTTGAAGAAGTTGAGGGAGTTTAAGCCCAATATGGTATGAATTAGTTATTTTGATTCTTTGTAGTCGATTTTACCATGTATGGATTTAATTACATCATTTGATGTTTCCATGACTCTTGCTTTAAAAGATTGTATTTGATCATTGGATGATTTTTAATTGCTGACCACTTCCGTCCTTAGCTATAGATTGTTGTATCATTCTCTATTTAACGTTAAGGATGGATAATTTTCCTAGGTTTTGTTCTCAAGAAGAATGGAAAAGAAGGAAAAATTAAATGCATTTTTTTGTTTATTTTCTACCATTTTATGATGATTGCTGAAACCTAGTGGAAAGAGAATTTAATGTCCTTTTACAACCTGATTGATTTGAGCTGATATTTTCTTCAGGCTTTCCCTGTTGGGCAAACTTTGAAGGACAAGGAGCAAGACAAGAAGGAGAAGAAGAAGAAGGGTTGCCCTGAAAGGAAGAGGCCATCTCCACCTTACATATTATGGTGCAAAGATCAATGGAATGAGGTAAAGAATGGACTGAGAAACGGTTTCTTAAGCGCATACATGTCAATACTGATATGGTTTTTGTAATAGATCAAGAAGGAGCGCCCAAATGCGGAGTTCAAGGAAATCTCAAATATCGTGGGTGCAAAATGGAAGACTCTTACTGCCGAAGAGAGGAAGCCTTATGAAGACAAGTACAAGGTTGAGAAGGGAGCCTATCTACAGGCTACTGCAAAGGAGAAGCGCGAAAATGAGGCAATGAAGCTGTTGGAGGAAGAGCAGAGACATAAAACAGCTATGGAGCTGCTTGATAACTATCTGCAATTCATTGAAGAGGCAGAGAAAGAGAACAAGAAGAAAACAAAGTAAACCCCATTACTGATTATAACTTCTCTCTCTCTCTCTCTCTCTCTCTCTCTCTCAACCCGCCCAAGAAAAAAGTTTGCTGATTGTTTCTCATTGCTTGATTTATAGGAAAGAGAAGGATCCGCTGAAACCAAAACAGCCCGTATCAGCCTATTTGTTGTTCTCAAACGAGAGAAGGGCTGCTCTATTCGCCGAAAACAAGAGTATTCTGGAGGTAATTGAGGTCTCTCTTGATGAGTCTTCTAGGTTATAACATTTTTTTTTTTAAATTTGGGGTAGTTGGAATTATATTTGCAGGCAGCAAAAGTTACTGGTGGAGAATGGAAAAACATGAGCGAAGAACAAAAACAGCCCTATGAAGAGGTTGACTTAATAACCAAACATGCTATCCATTTCCATTTCAACTTGCCAGATGTTTGATAATGTTTTGTGCCAAATTACAGATTGCAAGAAAAAACAAGGAGAAATATTTGCAGGAAATGGAGGCCTACAAGCAGATGAAGGATGAAGAGGCAAGGAACCTGAAGGAGGAGGAGGAAGAAATGATGAAACTTCAGAGACAGGAAGCTATGCAACTACTCAAGAAGAAAGAGAGAACAGAAAACATAATCAAGGTACTTCATATTTACCATGAAGTGATTCTCGTACCATTTTTCATAGAAATCTCTGACTGACAGTGATTGGTATACTGCAGAAGAAGAAAACTAAAGAGGAGCGTCAGAAGAAGAAAAAGGAGCAGAATGTTGATCCTAACAAGCCTAAAAAACCTGCATCCTCCTTCTTTTTGTTCAGGTATAAGTATAACCCAGATAAATAAATGGCAGAAAATGAAGCTGTGAAACATAGGGAGTAGAGTTAATAATGTTTTTTGGTTTGATGCAGCAAAGAAACAAGGAAAACTTTGCAGGAGGAGCGACCAGGAATAAACAATTCTACTCTTAATGCAATGATTTCAGTGAAATGGAGGGTACAATATTCTTGTTTGACAAATCTTGCTGTACATGTTTTAATTAGTGGTTATGTGAGTAGGGAAAAGGATTGAGGTGGTATGGTTTGTTTATTATAGGAACTGAGTGAAGAAGAAAAGCAACCATGGAATTGTAGAGCTGCTGAGGCCATGGAAGCATACAAGAAAGATTTGGAAGCCTACAACAATGAGAAATCTCTACGAGGGGATTGAAGGAAGCATACAAGAAAGAATTTTGAAGCCTTACAACAATAAGAGAAATCTCTACGAAGAGATTGAAAGAAGCAGATTTAGTTTCTTTTCTGATGTTCAAGTGGTTTTATTGAACACCAAATCTTGTAATCGAAAGCCATGGGTGGTTTTGTTTGTGATTTCATATACTTTCTTCCTCAGAGGTTCTATATTTTGAACGTGTTTATCCATGAAAAACTCAAACTTGGATTATCATGGTTCATTGAATGAATTGCTGCTTTTAAATCGAACTTGTCTACCAGCATCAACATCCATGAAAAACTCAAACTTGGATTATCATGGTTCATTGAATGAATTGCTGCTTTTAAATCGAACTTGTCTACCAGCATCAACATCTTCTTCTTCCTCTATAATTATAACACAAACAAATTTGATTTTAAAACTCACAGAATTTCAAAATCTGTGAGGAAAAGCAAATAAAGAGAGCTCACCCTTATTCTACACTTCATGACATTAAAAAATCTTTGGTTGCTGATCGTAGCATTTGCAAAGGAAAATGACTATTTTTGGAGGAATATATTACAGACTATATGTGGCACTATATTTTTGGAGGAATATATCCAGTTATCTGATTTTCTCCTCTTCCATCATTATTTGCCTTGGAAGCAGTGAAAAATTACTTATAGTTTATGTACATTCCCCATGCATTTTTTTATTTTTTCTTTTATATCAGAGTTCGCTTCAAGTATACTGTATGAATGCAGAAAATTTCTTTTACTTCAATGCTTATCTGTGGGTGTTTATTATTTAATATATGTTTGGATGCAGACACTGACACTTGTTTGTGTACCTTCACGTTATTAGAAGATTTAGTTATTTTAACATCTAGATATAGAAATCCACTGTATTAGGGGCCCTGTTGGACTTGATAGAGATGTACATGTTAATGTGTTGATTCCAAAGACAAAGAAACAACATGTCTTCTACGAAGGATAACTTTGAGTAAGCAGCACAGTCTGAAATCCAGAGATGTAGAGGTCTTCAAATGTCTTGATAGGTAAGAACCGAAGGTGCTTGTTGATAAATAAGAGTGCCCCCTGAATCACCATTCGGATTGCATTCTTTTCCTTCAAGTCATTGGCTAGTTTCTAGTCTCCAGTTAATAGTTCCGTCAATTTTCATCAGTTAATCTTCTGCTTAGTGCTTAGATGAATTTACTATAGGGATGGGAGCCAACAAGTTGCAAGGTGAATCTTGTATGGTATCTGTTTTCTCAAATTTTTTGGTAACTTGTTTACAAGTTACAAGATTTATTTCTTGTCCTGAATGCAGATGCATATCATGGTGGGGGAGAAATGGATATTTGGGAGTATTAGATTTCATCTGCGGACCTTCAAGAATGCAAATGACGTGGAAAGTATTTCATACTTGTCAAAATTCAGGATTTGTCGTAAACAGATATTAAGGGCCTTTAAAAATCAACATTATGCTGGATAGCTAAGAATCATTGGTGATTATAGCTATGACTGTGAGGTTGTTATTTTTCATGTGAGATTCCAGGTGTCATAAATGTCAGGTACATATATATATATATATATATATATGCCGAAAGAAAACTGGGGCGAAGTGAAACATAGAACAAAATGGGTTATCTACTACAACGAAAATAATTAATTAATTAAGAAGCATCATGACCAAAAGGTTCTTGGGGCCAGACCATCTCCAATAAAAAAAGAATAATGGGGGTACAGAACGATTCATATTGTGATTAATTCAGTAATTAATTTGAAGAATGGATTCGGTATCTTTCTTTGATTGGAACAAGAGCGGGTTATCTGTGATCACTAGTGGCATTGTGGGAAGGTTCAATAATAGGGTTTGGAGGGAGAAACAAGTAACATTTTTTTTGGTGTTAAACAAAAGAAAAAGAAAAGGTGAAGTATGATGTTAAACAATATTTTGATGGTAATCATTTTCAATACTTTGCAATGAGATTTTTACCTTATTATGCTTGTGGTAAGAAAGAAAAAGAAGAGTAAAGATAAAATGAGAGAAAGTGTAGGAAGGAAGAAAGAAAGAAAGAAAGAAAGAAAAAATGGTTTTAATTTTTAATTTTCATTTTTTAAAATATTAAATATTATTTAAACTCTTTATCACATTAAATGTCACATCAATCAACATGTGAAAGCTAATCAATCTGTAATGCCGTGTTGAGATAGTAACACTTAGCGAGAGAACTATTCAAATATTTTTTTTTTAAATATAAAGATTAATTTAATATAAAATTAGAACAAAACCAAATTGAAAAAAAAAAAAAAAAATACTTAAGCCTGAAAATAACTATGTAATATTACTAATTTTTATTTAAAATCTATTTTAATTTGAACTTGGACGTCCTGAAATTTCAGCACAGATCTAAGACTCGCTTGTCATATTTGGTATTTGGGATCTTCGTATTGCCATGTGTCTGGAGCTACATTCTAAATAAAAAACTGTTTTTTAAAAGTTGGAAATTATCTTGTAATCAGCAGTTAATTGTACAGCAACAATGGTCCCAAATATATTCAACCATCTTGAGTGTGTTCATCTCTTTCCTAACCACCGACTCCAACATAGATTTGAGCATTTCTAGCTCTAATTAGACATGAACCTTAAACTTTCTACAAAAGCCATTCATCCATTCTCTGTTGTGAATAAGAATAACCCTTTCTGCACCTTTACCATTTTGCCATTCACTACCATCTGCATTCAACTTTAACCACCGAATATGTTAATGGACATTGATTTCAGATATACTTCATTTTAATATCAAATAATAAACACATGGTTTATATTAATATGTCCATGTAAAAAGATTATCAAAATTATCTATAATTTACAACATGGAAATCAATCTCCATTATATTATGTTTTAGATTTAATTCCTTTACAATGTTCAGACTAAATTTAAGTAAATAGTCCTATAATATATGTATGAAAAACTAGAACAAAGAATTGAATAGAAAATTTATTCAGATGCAACCATAGTTCTTGTAGAACTACTAGTTGTCAAATCAGGCATATGTTTCAAAAAATAACAAATTTGAAACAAAAAAAAAAAAAAGCCAAATCACATAGGCTGAGACAACAATTGACCCAAAATTTTGTCATTAATATAGTTATAGTTCCCTATGAAAGGGGGGAAAAACCCCTTAAAGAAGATAGATTAGTCACCCCGAGGATGAAACAAACAGATCAATTCTACAGAGTAAAAAATCTACAGAAAAGCCTTTCACATTCATTTTTGTCAGTCCAGCAGATGATACCAATCAAATATGCTGGCATGGAACAACAGCTTTCACCAGAACAAAGGTCATATAGTAGTAGCTCATTTTGAATTCCGTGACTAGCCACATTTTCCACTAAATGGAACTTACAAATGATTCTCAACATCCTCGAAGCTTGAATACTCATGGATGAAATACCTCGTATGATCAGGTAAAGTACAAGTTATATGAACAGCATCTGCTCTTCAGTGCCTAGCATAAAGTGGAGGAGAATTAAATAAAAAGGAAAAAGTGGGAAACAGAGAGAGACTACGCAATAAAATTTATACTTATGCATTAAATAGCTTCCTGAAAGGTCCATCTTTCCGGTCTTTGGCAGCTTCAGTTAGAGCAAGAAACCTCTTGAACCCTGTTGTAGCTGCACCTCGACCAAGTGCTGCTGCTCTGGTTAGCACATCTTCTCTGGAAGTGATAAACCCAACTGACATTGGATTATTAATTACTGGTGCCGCAGGAGCAGCTGGGGCAGCTGGGACAACTATAGAAGGTTGTGTAATCCCAGGCCCATGCTTGTTGAAGTCATCTAGAATAGCTTGCTGATCCGCTTTTTTTAGGCCCTGAACAGTTTAGACCATAGTTATTAAAATTGCACTGGTCATCAAACTGGTTGGGATGCTGGTTTTCAGTTTGCTGGTTGGATTGCTAGTCTAAGAATTTATAACTTAAAATATTAAATATTAGAATTAATTATAAAATTACTCAAATATGAGTACTAATGATGAAGATTAAAAAGATATAAAATATGAAAGAACAAATAACACATTAAATATTTTAGAAAAGAACGAAGATAATCAAAATCAATGACTGATGGATGATGGCAGCTTTTGAAATTTGAAGTTGCAGAAACTTACTAATAGAATGCATTAAATTAGAACAAAGGGTTTGAGTTTGAATCTATTTTAATTTAAGTTTAGAGTTGAGTTTGAATCTATTTTAATTTAAGTTTAGAGTTGAGTGAGGCGTTCATGTATTATATTTAAGTTTTTTTTTTCTTTAAATAAAAGTATGAAATGTATTAAATACATACACCAAGGGAATCTAAAAACCCATGTACAAAAAGAATTTATATATTAGTAAGCATATCAATTAGTTCATCTAAGTTCTCTAGGGAATACAAATATTGTTTCAAAATCAATATGCCAAGAGATTGGAACCATCCCTTCCTAAACTTCTTGATGCTCTTTTCCACGCCCTCAAAAACTCTCCTATTCATTTCCTTCCTTTCTACCAATACGTGCTATTTCATTGAATAAAATCTGTGTGTCCATACTCCTCCTTGCATCACTCTTTTATAGCATATTTAATCATCTTTAGTTTTCTCGCCACTATACCTTCTTGCACCACTCTACCTTGTCACAAAAGTCATTAACAGTCAACCATCAATCTTAAAATATGAACGAACATGGTCCCACTTGATATCATCCGACTCCAAGCTTATAGGAAAATGATTAAAAATTACCCTCTGCAATCGCTTCTGATAGATACCTGAAATATGAATATGACAAGTAGACATGAAAAATTTGTCAATACAAGAGCACAACAGACTCACTCTCTAATTGGACCAAGTCCATTTTCCCCCTATTAATGGAAAATCAACCAATTCTAATCTCTCCATAACATCCTTGAATTCATTCGTACAAGTTCTCAAAAATTGTTCTTTCAAGTCGATCCAACAACATATTGAAATCCCCCCACAACAACCTAAAGGAGACTCCACTTCCACTTGCATTCCTCCATATCACTCCACAGTAAAGCTCTTTCACTTCCCTTCCCCTTATTGCACACTCCAGTTAACACCCAACATTCCCCACCACTCTTATTTTTGAACAAACAAGAAATCGAGCATTCCCCCCTTATATACTCCACACAACTAACTATGTCTTCCTTCCACATAATCAAAATCTCACACTCACTACAAGCAAACCCTTCTAACCCACTTCCTTTGCTTTCCGGAGGCTACGAATTGTCCTGTCTTTAATATTTTCCATTTTTGTCTCTTGTAAACAAATAATATCTAGTCTCTATCTACTTATGCAACCCTTGATCACTTGTTTCTTCTTATAATCATTGATACCCCATACGTTCTAAGAGATGATCCTCTATATCATTCTTCACTTGCTCCCTCTTCCTCCCCACCCCACCTTTTTTCTCCCTCTCCTTACACCATCATAGTTTATGCTTGATTCTAGTCTTCGTAGTTCCTTGGA